CACCACTCAGCTTGGTGTCGTCTGCAAACTTGCTGAGGGTGCACTCGATCCCACTGTCTGTGTCATTGATGAAGATATTACAGTACCGGTCCCAATATGGACCCCTGCGGTACGCCACTCGTCACCAGTCTCCATCTGGACATTGAGTCATTGACCACTACCATCTGGATGTGACCATCCAACCAATTCCTCATCCACTGAACAGTCCACCCATCAAATCCATACCTCTCCAGTTTAGAGAGAAGGATGTTGTGGGGGACCGTATCAAAGGCCTTACAGAGGTCCAGATAGACGACATCTGTAGCCCTTCCCGTGTCCACTGATGTAGTCACTCCGTCATAGAAGGCCACTAGATTAGTCAGGCAGGACTTGGCCTTGCTTAAGCCGTGCTGGCTGTCCTTCACGTGCCTTAGCATAGCTTCCAGGAGGAAGTTTATGTTTGCTTTTGCAGTATGGTTATGTGTTTAAGGAGGAGAAAATACCATGGTAAGAATCATACATACAAAATCATACAAAAGAATGCGTTTGTTTTAATGTCAGGTAATTATTTGATGAGATGTTAGTCTGGCTATAAAGTTTGCTCTGTGAACTGTAGAGTTTACCAAGTTCTTCTGTAACGTAGAATGCACCTAGAATAAGCATTCTCAGTGTCTGCAGGATCTAGTTACTTCAGAAAACCAAAAGTGTTTATGGAGAATTTCTCATATCTTTCCTAATCAGTGTTTAATTTTAAAAGATTCAGGATGATCACAGGTCTCAGAACCCACCTAAGTGATGAATTTCTGTTGGTAACAGTTGTTCAGTTATTGATACTTCTGAAATTGTGCCAATTGTAACAATTATCTCAGGTACCTAAATATGAGTAAGGATCCTTATTTTAAGCTCTCGTTGCTTTAAGTTTTGGATTGGAACATGTTGTATAAGCATTCTGAATGTTTCTGCATACTTACTCTGATCTTTGTGAAGTTCTCTACTGTGTACAATTTTCTGAATTTGCGTATAGGGTCAAATTTATTCTCATTTCAGCTTGGCTAGACACAGGGAGAGGACAAGTAATTAAAAAAGGGAGTAGGAAAAAAGTTGGGATGAAACGGCTATTTCTTCATCACATGCTGTAATAAGATGGGGAAAAAAACAAGATTTTCATTTTTTTCTTTCCTGGTTTTCCTATACTGCATACTGTTAAGATTCTTATTAAATGCATGATTTTTGTGTTTTCAGTATAGTTTGCCAGCTACTTATGTTTAGTTCAAAAAACTTTTGTGTGTTTGAGTGACACAATTGCTTGAATCACACTATAGTGTTTGCAACTATGTATCTTTAAAGTTAGAGAGCAAGAGAGGATGCTTGAACATAATTCCTAAATTAAAAATAACAAGTTGAGGAATTGTTTTTTCTAGATATGTTTGCACTGGAGATATCTAGAATATATACAGAGTTGTTAAAGGTTATAAACTTAAAATGTAATCTTAAAATATAAGTTTAAAATGTAATTTTAAAACATAAAACTCATGCAGGTTTTTTTCTAAATTTTACATATTGGCTGCATGTATTTTGAAATACACTAAAGAACTCAGACTTGTCCTAACCTAGGATACAATACCATACAATACAAGTGTATTTCAAAGCCAAGTACTCAGAAAGTACGCAAAATAAGTCTGAATGTGTGACTTTCAATTGTATTATTCATGATGCAGGCTACTTTATGATGTAGTTCTAGTCACAAAGGTAAAAGAGGATTTTGAATAGGAGAATGTATCTTGTGCACTGAGCTTCTTGTCCTGGCTGTTTTGCTCAACAAACCCTGTATTTCTCTGTGTATTTTTACTTCATGTCAGATACTCCTATTGAGTTGTTTTGTGTTTGCCTACTTATCCAACTCCTGTTTATCAAACTCCTGCTTCTGTATCTAATTTGATATCTCTTCCATCACCAGGTCCCAGTTTTCCTGTCCAATGTCTTACTATCTTCCATTACTGCACAGAATTTTTTGTTCTATTCCCTGTGATTTAGATGTATTTTCTGTTGATCTGGGAATGCTTCAATAGTATTTCTTTTGGTCTGTTTTTGGCATAGGCTTTTTGTCTGTTATTCCTTCATGGAAGAAGAACTTTTTTGTGGGGTTCTTTCAAATATATACGTTCACATTATGCATGTATGTGCAATGTAACACTGTGACTGCAGATTTCGTTTCATCTTAGTTGCATATGAAGAACCTGTATGTGCTCTTTAAGCCGCACATGTGGGCATAAGCGGATGGTGGTTATCCTTTCTCCCCTTGTTCTCAACTCCAGTAGGCTAATGAGCCTCTGAAGTTCACATGCGGGCTATGATTTGCTTGTGTTCTTCTTTGACTACTTGTGTTACATCTTTCACCCACTCACTTGCAGGTTAAATTTGTCCTAATCTCATTTTAACAAAGCCCTCCTCATCTCTGCTTTTGAGTCTCCCAGGTTTCAAAAGCTTTTCTGTTGGAAACTCATTAAGCCTTGTGCCTTGATCGTTTTTCCTTTGTATCTCTAAAAAATCTTTTTTCTTCATTGTTGACCCTCAAGTGATGACTTCCCTTAAACTGATAAAACTGAAACTACATCTGACCTGCAGTGGCAATGTATCTGTGTCTGCACAGATACAGCACTAAATGCTTCTGCCACTTAGAAGAGTCTGGAAAGTATAGCATATATTGCTCCTCTATATTCAGAACTTGGAAAGAGTAACAGCTTTTCTACAACAGCTTCTCTTTGGCACATCCTTGGGTATGAGGACAAAAATTGAAGATATGTGCAAGTACAAGATGTAAAGAAATCTGTTTCTTGTATTTGTTATATGGGAATTGTACAACTAATAATTCTTCTGTATGACTTGCAGTGTTTTTTAACAATTATTCCATTTAACTAGCCCCATTTAAATGTGTAAGATTCAAGAAAGGAAATTTTGACTTAGTGAATGTAATATTTACTTAACAATGCTAATATAAATTCAGTCTAAAATTTTTTAGTGTCAGTGGTTTTTATCTACAGGATAACAAAACAGGTCAGTGCTGAATCTATTGAAGATATCTGGTTATCATTATCCACTAAGTTGGGTTTTAAAGAAGCTGATGTATCTTGTGAAGGTAAAAATATTTCATAATACTCAGTCTGAGTGGTAAAAGTTACTTATCCTCATTTAATATATGCTTTGCATTTGTAATAATAGTTGCTTGTTGCCTGCTCTATGTCTTATGTAAATGATGTGAGTATCCTTTGAAATCTGGGTGTATCATCTGTCAAGCTGAAAGACACATACATTTTAAATGTTATATGAGGTACTATTAAATCATCCTGTTTGCAAGAAGATAATTTACGTTTCTGTATTTAGATTCATACTGGTTTTTATTCCATCTAGGATTTGAACCAGCTGAACTAGTTATGTTGGTTGTTGGAAATTCTAGGGTTTTTTTTCATTTAGTTTCTGTAAAACAAATAACTGCATTGCTGTTACAGGGTATTCATAACGTACTCCCAGCGTAGAGTTCTGGTTTTTACAGTTTGCATCTTTACTTGGATATTTTTGAATTAAGTTTTAAATATTAAAGAGATTGTGTGCAATTTTTTTTAAGCCAATGTGCAACCTTTTAAGTACTACTAGCCTGAGGCGATCCTGTCTGCAGTAAATTGTGTGATAAAATTTCTGTTGATGGCAGTGAAGCCAAAATTTCACTCCAGATTTTAAGTAGTTGTCCTTCTTTTCAATGCTTGTATTTTTAATCAAAATAATTTAGGGAATTATTGACTGTGGAATCAAAATGGAAATGTCTTGGACTCTGCAGCATATATAATTCCCATTTTTTATAGATCAGGACAATGGATGGTGACCTCAAAGAATCTTTTATCGAAACAAATAACTGAGGCATTTTTGATAGCCAAATTTCACAGAATGAAATGTTGATGATTCATGTGTATCACGAGTAAAACAGTGCTGTTGGGATGTTACACTGAATATTCTTAGAACGCCAAAGACTTTAATGAAGTCATTGATACTTACTTAGGAAAATAAAATGAAATAATTATTCTTTAAAAAATTGAGATGATCAGGAACTTGTACTATTATTTGGAGGATTACTTACCCAAGCAACGAGGCAAAGATAAAAATTTTGTACCATCTTTATTAATACATTTTTGTTGCACTCTGCATTGGAAATAAGCTGGAAAAAAATGCTATTGAACGTGAAAGTTCTGTTTGTAACCACTTGTGCTTGCCTTGATAGATGTGAAGGGGCTAGCTTTATATTGAGAAAGAAGTTGGAATAAAGAGTGTATGTTTAAGCCTTCATAAGAAATAATTATAATGTATTTTTAAAGACAGCAATGTAACCAATTGTGCTTACTGTGATACATGTGAACAGGCCAACTTTGTGTTGAGAATGAAGTTCGAATAAAGAGCGTATGATTATATAATATATATAATATATGAAAAAGCTTTGGAGTTGGAGAAACTCCGAAGGAAAAAGTTTGGCATGAAAATTGATTGTATGTCACTTTGGAGGCTTCAGCAGCTCCCCGCAGCCTTTCAAAAAGGTATTGAAAGTTAGTATTGAAACTAAGATTATTAGTTATTTTTCAGTCAGTTCATTACCAAGAATAAGAATTATGATATGACTATAGTTGTGTTTGCTGTAATAGGAGTACAATATTTACTCTTCTGAATTTGGTATGTTTGAATATATATCCAGAAAAAAAATATGGAAAGTACTGTGGAATGTTCAGCATCGTTTGAGAAATAGCGTAAGAGTAGACAAGACACTCTTAAGATGATAATAAATACTCAGTTTGGGACAAGGAGTGAGAAGCTGAAACAGAATTATAAAATAATGCATTTGAGTTAAACCATAGATTAAACCACAAACAAAAAAAATAAATTTGTTTTGAGAAAAATTAAAATGTGGTAAACCTGAATAAAGTAATTACATATTTAGTAGGAATTGTTTGATGTAACCATTGATAGGTCTCCTTGAAATCCCAGATTCTAAGGACGTTTACTGTTACCTTTTGTGGTAAGCTGGCATCTACACAATAGAATTAAAGAAAAAAGAAAAAAAAAAAGCAGCTACTTAGCAGCTGTTTGCTGTTTGTCTTCTGACTCACGATCACAAGCAGGTACCATCTGAACCGAGACTTATAGAAAAGTTGCATAATTTGTAACAGTGGGTTCCTGAATGTAAAATCACAGTTGGTGATTTTACATTCAATTTTACTCACAATCCAGAGTGTGGTGACAGTGCAAGAGTCTTCCATAACAGCGTTTACCGATGGGTAAACACTGAGTGAAAATCAGTGTATAATGGAGGCAAGCCAGGAGTCATTTAGTCCCAAATGCCTTTTTTCCTCTCTCTTTCCTCCTCCCCCACCCCCCCCAGAAGGCAAAATGTCAAATAGTGCACATCCCTAACAATATATGAGAACAATGTATGTTGTTTGTTTTTGTTCAGGGTTTTTTTTCTTATTTTAGCCAATGGCTAACTCTTGACTTGGAAGCTAGAAACCTGTGTTAAGGTTGTTACCAGTTTGCAGAGATTGCTCTGCTTAAAAGCAATTGCCTCTGAAGGACAATTTATGATGCCCTGAAAACAGAGGAGGAGATCGAATAAAGAATCAGAATTAAAATTCAGTTATAGGTTAGAAACCACTTTCAGGAGAAAATCCTGTGGCAATGGAAAGGTCAATTTTACAGAAGCAAAGAGCTGCAAGAAGAGAAGGTTGATAATACAATCTTCATTCTTCAGCACAGTAGTTCAGGATTTGAGCTGCAGAGATGTTACTTTTTACTTTTTGATGTACTTACCTACAGTGATGCAGCAGTAAATCATTTTTGTGTGTTGCTATACGTTCCTGCTACTTTTACTTTACTGTTTAGCATTCTCTATTAACATCAAAAGTTTGGAGTAGTGGAATAAAATTAACACATTTTCGATGCTGTTAATATATGCAATGATACAGTGTTTAAAAAAAAAGGCAAAATAAACCAGCATGAAGTTTGGCTGTGAAAATTAACCAACTCTTCTCCCTTGATCTAACAGTGGGCTATGTCAGTATGACATTGTGTCCTTGGAGTAAATTTGTAATTTTCAGGATTACAACTTTTCATAGTATTATCTATAAGACAAAAATTATGCTAAAATGGAATTGAGGATAAAGGGAAAAGACCCTCAGGGATGTTATAATTATCCCTAATCTAAGTGTTACAAACCCAGGAGATTCTTAATTAAGAGTTTGCATGACCTATTCAGAGTAGACACTGAATCCTGTTATTTCTACAGACTTCCCTTGATTTCCGTTATTGCTAGTTCCTGCTGCATCTATGTCCTGGTAACTGCAGTGACATAACCTATCTTCAGTAATTACCTTCTCTGAAATACAACGAAAATCCAATGTAAAACACATTTTATTCATCTTAGTGTTAGGTATCACTCTGTATGATGTAGAAAAGCCACTTACTCATACAATGTCTCTTTAACTTTTAGTAGCAATGAAATAATAATTTTGTAAATTTGTGATTTATGTCTTCTTAACACAGCAAAATTTATTGACTGTTAAGGGATTGCATTGAATATTCTACAGCTACTTCTCAGAGCTAGAGAGCCTCTTTTTCTCAGTAAAATGTGTTTCTCTCTCAAATTTATGGCAAAGTTTACTGCTCTTGAGACATTTTCTTTTTTTCTTATCTGATAATCTTACTTTCCCTAGTTTCATACCAATAGTTTTTCCATATAGAACATCAGCTGCTGCAGGACACCATCTCTAATAAGCTTTTTTTTCCTGAGCAAAATAAAATATATGTTGTCATTCAGCAATCAGTGGTCTAGTCACATATTTTCTTGTAAAGACCTGTAGGAAATTTATGCCCAAGTCAGAAAAGTAAATGCAGCAAACTGAACTAAGACTGACATACTTCTGTGTGTCAACATGAATATGTTTTGTTTGTTGGATTTGAGTTTGTATCTTTAGTTTAGCTTTCTTGAAGCCACATTTAGTTCAGGAAGTGTCCCTGAACTGAAAATAGTTGGCATATTAAGAGGATGTGGGATTTGTACTTGCTCTGTTCTTCCTCTGCATCCACATACGTCTGTTCCTGGAGACTAGGAAGCTCAGTGGAGCTGTTATATGTGTTATAATAGCCTCTTCTAGATATGCCTTAAGGCTAAATGTTTTAATTTCCTTCATAAAAACAAAACCACCCCTCACTTTGAAGATTTGCTTGAATTACGTACTAGGATTATTAAGATGAGTTTAAAAACAGTTCCACTGCTAATGCAATATTTGGATCTGTTGCTGGAGACTAGGAAGCTCAGTGGAGCTGTTATATGTGTTATAATAGCCTCTTCTAGATATGCCTTAAGGCTAAATGTTTTAATTTCCTTCATAAAAACAAAACCACCCCTCACTTTGAAGATTTGCTTGAATTACGTACTAGGATTATTAAGATGAGTTTAAAAACAGTTCCACTGCTAATGCAATATTTGGTGATGTCTTTTGTAATCAATGTCCTCTTTTGTTCTTCAAAGTAGTTTACAGCAAAATTTTGCAACTCTTAGTGTTATGACAACATATTTCCTAATCTCACTAAGTATTCATGATGTCACTCTGATACTCATATTTTGTTATGCTAATTATCTTTTTAACAGAATATGAAATGTGTGTTCAAGATACCTTGGAGCTACAATGGCATTTTGATTGTAAAAGCCGTCAGCTGCGACAGGTACAAAACCAAATACTTAAGACAGAAACAGTTAACGGAAAGATTCAGAAGGACATAGACTTCATGAAGAAACACAGCCCTCTGCTGGAAGAAAAGCTTAATCTAGAGGGTGAAGCTGTGAAGGATGTGTTACTGGCTTATGAAAAGGTAAATGCAAACAAACGAAGATTCTTTTAGAACCTTTCCACTACACAAGTGCATACCCTTCTAGAAAACAGCAATCTTTTGGAAGTACCAAAGTCTGTTTTAAATTTTGTACACAAAGACTGTGAATTGTGTGCCTATACTGCTACATACAGGCACTCAATGCAGACGGAATCCAGGGAGGATAATGCTGTTGGCCTTTAATAAATGTCTCTTAAGCATATACGGAATGTAATTCTAACTTTGTAAGTTGATTTCGTGTGGGATTTTTCACGGGAAAGGTAGAAGGCACATATCTGATATTTGCATAGATTCTTGTCAGATTTCTCACAGACATCAGTGTTTGTTCTAGAATTTGGAGATGTTAGAAGCTGTCAAAAAATGTTTGTAAGATTTAATTGTTTTAAAGTGCTGATGTACATTTTTCCTAATTTATTTGTTGATAATATTTATTGATAATAATATTGATAAGAATTTATTGTTTGTTGATAATAAATGCCTAATGTGGATAATGTCAAGCTGAATAATCAAAGTGTAGTAAAGTTGTAGGTAGCTTAACATTGATGTCTAAAAAGGGAGGTATACTGTGCTACTTCAAGTACAGATTTTATTACTAATTATTATGTTTTCTGTATATTTTCTATAGTAAGTCTTAAATACAAATCCACAGATTAATCTCTTTTTCAAGGTACTTACAGTCTAAAACTGGTCTTTTGTTTGTAGGAGATTCTTAATAAATATTGTTTATTTTAACTTGTTTTATTTTGAACTTCTCATATTTTGAGGACTCAACAGTCATGTCAAAATACTTCTAAAATTAAAAAGAGTTAATTGCCTATTGCACAAATAATATAAGAATTATCATGAATTAGTTCTGACCTATGAAATAGCTCACCATTCTATCAGTGTTATGAGACATGTTCAAAATACTGGCTAATTAAAATCAAGTTGGTTATTTTGTTTTTTATTTTGTATCCTTTTTTCTTGTTAATGTCTTAAAATATTTTGTATTCAGTTTAAATATTGAGGTGTGCTAAAATACAACTCAGGAAGTAGACTTAAAATATTCTTTTTCTAAAGACTATTTTAAATAAATATGTTTTTTCAGGGTGGTTTTTTTCCCTTTCTTTCCAAAAAGTGACACTACCTATCATAAGAAGATAGATTTGGTGTTACTGTAACTTATTTATATATTTCATTTCAACAAAATTTCTAATTGTCAAAATATTAATGACTTTTATTGTGCTCTAATTTATATGCTGTTCATTATTCAGGTTTGTTTTTTCCTCCCATGGCCTCAAAAAAGCAGCTGATACTTAATTTTCTTTGCAATTAAAACAATTATTTAATTTTGAATCTCTAGCTTTTAATATCCAGAGAACTAGTTTGAGCAGTGAAGTGCTAGATTCTAATAAAGATTTTATATCATGTTATTTGTTTATATTTGTAATATTTTAAAAAGCAGAGACAATAGACGTGCCTATCTATTTGAGAGTTGTTAGGAACTGGGTGTCCTGGTACTATTTATACCATTGAAAATTGTGTTCATTGTCTGCATTGTCTCAGGCCCTCTTTTACACAGGTGATTGCTGTCTTGCACATCCTGTAGGAGATGTTGAGGTAATGATGCTGTCAGATTACTGAGTGAAACCTCAGTGGCTTCTTTTAACATTATTTCTTTCTTTCTGCTCCAGAGGTCACTATCTTCCCATGGAAGTAGCCACCTTTTCAAAGTTTTGTAACAGAATGAAAGCCCTCTTGCTAACATTTCTTTATGTTATGCAATTTTACCACACACATTCTGTTGTCTTTCACTAGGATTGTATCTGTTGCAGACCATGCAGAATTTGTTAAGTTGTATGACATCACAAAGTACTACCTCAACTTTAAACTTCAATTTTTAAACTGCAAAGAATCAGACAAATCTTGAAATTAGTTTTTATTTTAACCATTATGTATGATTTTTTATATAACATCTTTCAGAAAACTTGTTTTATTTTCTTAGACATCAAAAATATATAGCGATGTTCGTTGTGAACTCATGGAAATCCAGAAGGCAATGAAAAGAATTGATGAAGAATCTGAAAAGAAGATAAAATCTATGTATGAGGAAATTAAATATGCTGAGGGACTATTGAGTCAATACAAGTAAGAGCTATTCAATATGGTTTTATAATGTCCTGTTAGTTTTAATAGTGGCAATCAAACTATAGAAAATTTGCTTTTATTTTAAATTCTGATTTTTGTAAAATTAAAATTAATAGAATTGTACATAAAAGAAGTGTTTACTTTGTTTGTCTTAGCTTGCATTAGCAGAATAAGGAAGGGATGATGTCCAGAAATAAACCCAAATGGAAAGTTCTATGAATTGACTCCTAAAGCATGCCATTTTTACCTTATTTTACTTACTTATGAATTTTTAGTCCCTTTGACAGAACTTTTTGCTATCATTCTTATAGACTGCACAAATTACTTGCATTGAACATCAGCATTTATCATAGTACCGTAGTTGTAATTATAACTTAATTTTGAACTTGCATATTACCCAGAACAATTCTAGCCAACACCACATACTTTTGAACTTATCAAAATACCTTGTCTTTCTTTCTTTTAGCAAACAAACAAAATTACTGTAACTTTATTGGATTGCAAGGTAGCTTCTGTATGGCAATGACTTATGTTGCCGTTTCTTCACTGTAACCTCTTGTCAGGCTATTAACCCCTGAATTATCAAGTGGAGCTATAGTAACAGTAGAACACCACTAATGGCCAGTCACTGACAAGTAATCTCTCCTTTCTGTCACTGAACGTACAGATAGAGTCAGCACCAAGAATAACTATGCCAAAGAACAAGAATACCAAGTACTTTCATGTTTGGTAGGAGGTTGCACTCGGCTTTGCTGCATATGCCTATGGCTTGTTGCCAGGTTTTATTTGGCAAAGTAGCAAGTGACACAGTGGCTCTTTTTCACTTGAGATGAGGAAAGCTTACAGGCATAATTGAAAGACATCAGTTAATTTTCGAGATAACCTTACTGGCGGTAACAGATGTTTCCGTATTGCAGCCATGTGACAGCAACTGTTCTTCAAATACCAGGTATTTCAAAATCAATGGAGTGTATACATTTTGTAGTAAATAATCAAATTTGGTTCATTCTATTAATTCAGAACTACCTAGATTCACTAGGAATTTATATGCCAGTTCCATAAATCCAGTTGTGCTATGTACTACCTGAGTTGGGACAGCATGCACTGCTTTAGTATTCCAGAGAGTTGATGTAAGAAAGTGCCTGATGTACAGTAGTGGCTGTAAACCTGTCCTGCTCACTGATGCTTACATCCATTCAGCTCGCAGGAAGTACTGCAAACACAAAATACTCCCTTATCATTTTTAGAAGAGGATTATTTTTGTTGGACTAACAGTGGAATTTAGACTTCACAAAGTTCCTGGCAGTAGAGTTAGGTCCCCCAAAGAGATGGGCCATCTGTGTCTGCTAGATAACTGGGTGATTCTAGAATGCTGACAGTCTTTCCCTATGCTTCCAAATATGACTGTGAACTACAAGAACTACTCTTCACACCAGTACTGATGTAGTATTTGTAAGAGCTGTTATTCAGTTCTGCTCAGTGAAAGCCTATTTGCCAAAGATGGTTCTCATCTGTACATATGTAAGAATCTTATGCCACATGTCAGCCCGTCTTTTGTCAAGAAAACATCAAAATCTAGGAATTGTTACTAGCAGAAATAAACTTTGTGATTTTACATGTTTACAGGCCAGCAGCACCCTGCCAGACTTTCTAAAAAGACAGAAAGTAAGCAGTTATGAATAGCTTATTGTCATGGTTTTACCCCAGTAGGTTAGCTGAGCCCCACACAGCTGCTCGCTCACTCCCCCTGAGCAGGATGGGGGGGAGAATCAGAAGGGCAAAAGTGCGAAAACTTGTGGGTCGAGATAAGGACAGTTTAATAGGTAAAGCAAAAGCCGTGCACACAAGCAAAGCAAAACAAGGAATTCATTCACTACTTCCCATGGGCAGGCAGGTGTTCAGCCATCTCCAGGAAAGCAGGGCTCCGTCACACGTAACGGTTACTTGGGAAGACAAACGCCATCACTCCGAACGAACAACCCCCTTCCTCCTTCCTCCCTGCAGCTTTTATTGCTGAGCAGATGTCACATGGTGTGGGATATCCCTTTGGTCAGTTGGGGTCAGCTGTCCTGGCTGTGTCCCCTCCCAACGTCTTGTGCACCCCCAGCCTACTCGCTGGTGGGGTGGGGTGAGAAGCAGAAAAGGCCTTGACTCTGTGCAAGCACTGCTCAGCAACAACGAAAACATCCCTGTGTTATCAGCACTGTTTCCAGCACAAATCCAAAACACAGCCCCACACTAGCTACT